AAATTTAATTTTGAAATGCTTTCATTCGCATTAATTTTCAAGTTTCAATAATGACAACACAATTAAGCGCACAACTAGGCGTATGAGTAACAAACAAATAACAGTGACAAGCACAATGACGATTTGACAAATACTTAAAAGCTTCCATAAGCCAAGTTAAGTCAACTAATCCTAATGAATTGGCCTAAGTGCAGAGATAATGAGCTGCTCATGAGCGACAAACAAAGAAGCAACAAAATGACAATAAAAAAGCAATTTTGAAATGAGCTCGCAATGGTAAATTCATTTGAATAAACCGGGAAAGCGCACACATATGTGCTTAAGCTTACAATAGCTCGAACTGACATGCAGAAACATGTAAAAACAAGCACACACAAGTTACGGCAGTAAAACCCTGAATAGGCAAACTGTTAAACATGTCAGCAGCTGCCGTTGATGAAGAGTTGTCAACAATTGTTGAGCCTTTTAAGGCGAATTAAATTCATTTAACGTCTGCATCCCGATTATCTGCTCTGCAAGTGCGAATCATAAAAACTTTAATGTCAATAAATGCATTTCATTGCAGCTCAAAAATATTTAAATACCAAAAAACTGCAGTTTCATAGCTTCAAAGTTGTTAAACCAAAAATTAATTTCCAACAAAAATCAATTGAAAATAATTCGACAAAAACTTTAACGACACTAAATTTTCGAATTCCTTGTGCTTAAGATGAAAAGTTAACTTCTTCTCGGAGCAGAAGAAGGGGAATAGAAACTTAATTCTGCACATAACAAACCAAAATGGGAAACTCTAAAATTCCTTGCTCGCATACAGCGCGAATTCTTCGCTGTTTAACTTTAAAACTCAATTCACGTCTTTTTGTCACCGGAAGTAATTTTCCAACAGAATAAACATTTTTCTTTCATTGATTGCTCGCGCTTCGAAATATGCACAAGTTTGCTAGCGCGTTTGCATTTGAATTAGTTGTCTGCTTCTAGGCGCTCTAGTAGCGAATAATTTTTCTTTTGTTTATTTGAAACTCGAAACTAACGGAAATTGAAATTCGTATAATTTATGGAAAACTAGAAAAGGAAAAAATGATTATTATAAAACCGAAAATGTTTGAATCTTTTGCTGCAGGATTTATGAGCAACTTTTCTAGCACGAGACTTCAGTGAACGACTACAGCGAAATGCATCAAGAATGCTAAAGGCGGCTGAAAAGCGTTGCTGAAATTTGCCTCAAGAAAAATAAAGTTACCAGCATCAGTAATTTATTTCGGCTGCATTCATGGATGAAATCAGTTAAGTTTTGATTTTAGGCAAAATTGTTTCAAACTGCATATAATTTTGATAGCAATTTTTTTGTGGCATGCACGATTTTTATTTTCTTCATAAACATTTCTTGAAAACATTTAAAAAGATTTAAAAATCTAAAGTATTTTTATGTGATATTTTTATATCTATAGTATTTATATAAAGTTTTTTATACTACGGAGTATCTAACAATTTTCATCAATATTTATTCTGTTAAATTTATGGTATTAGTAGTGCTTAACATAAAAAGAACTGAGTATAACTATCATGGTTATATGCAGCTTTGAAATGCAGTAGCCTTAATGTTAAACTACAATATGCTTCAAATTATTGGAATATGTAAGACTCTTATGAATTGTCTTTTTCAAGACTCAGCTAATAAAGTAAGAAAAAATGCTTTCTTAAGCTGCATTATAAGCATATATACTGTTTTTGGTCTTTACATATTAGATACTTTTTTTATGCTATAAATAGTTATTATTTCTACCTATAATGCGTGCAAAACAACTATACCACTCTTTACTTCATACTGGTATAATGTTCTCCAAAATGAGAAGTGCGTCATATAGAAAGTCCATTCGATACTAAGAGGGGAAGGTAAAATTATATATGGACAGACACAATTTTGAAAAATAATGTGATGACTTACCATAGGTTTATTTGCTTATGGTAAGTCACCCATAGTACGGCTATGGGTCCGTTGGTTAAGGTGCGCTTACTCTGAGCTTCAAATTTGGCAAGACACGCTTTTAATTCCTGGTATTTGCAGTCTCCAAAAATTATTTACGAATAATTAAATACAAGAGTTATTTGCAAGACCACTGGTGATGGATATTTGGCAATATTCGAAAAAATCAAATTTTTGGACAGTCAAAAATTCAATTAATTAAAATAATATAAAATAAATTTTTGTTGTTGTATTTTTCTACTGTTCGAAAAAACCTCTTTATTAAATTATTAATTTAATTTCTTGAATGTAGATTTGAGAACACAAGCCATTAAGTAGAAATGTATATTTAATAATTCTGTATTATTAAATATATTAATAATTAATATTAATGGGCACAATAAATCTCTTCGTTCGCAGTGTACTATCCCTTTTTCGTAATAATTATAATAATTCTTCTTCTATTTATTTCTATTTGAGCCAATGCACTTGAGCACTTTTACTCTTTCTTAACTCGAGATATTTTTAAAACCCCTCTTTACGTCTTGTCTGGTTTATTGTTTATCACTTCATCAGACTAAGCAATAATTGACCTTAGATCTGCATACTTCCCCGAGGAGTCTGTAAACATTTTGAGATTCGATAACGCAGTGTTGGTAAGTCTGTCAGCTTTCGCAAATAATTTCAGGGCTCTATTCTTTATATATTTTTAATTTTAAGTAGAATCTCGCTATTTCTCATTTAAAATTCAATCATAATTTGAAGACATATTAATATAATAAACGCAACATAACATCACATAACACGCAAATATATAATAATAATACAAATTTTGTTTAACAAAATAAAAAACAATCAAAAATTTCGAAAAGCTAGACAGCCATATATCTTAGCTCGTATATTGCTGCACATATTTGTCAAAAAAAGAAAAATCTAAAAGTTAAGCAGAAACTTCAACAACTTTTTGGGGTAAATAACAAGAAAGCAAATTAAGTAAATAATTCTTAATAAATATTTAAATTTATGCATTCATTACAGAACTTATTTACTGCTCTATTTTCTACGTTCTCATTTGCATACGTAACAATGGCAGGCACTTTGCCACGGTATGCAGTACTACGAGTACGACTATCTTCAACGTTTATGTCAAATATGTGTACGTCTTTTCGACGCCTATGCATATGCAATGTAAAATGCAAATTAGCATTTTGTTATTTTGTTTACCTTGACATGTTGCATGTACGCAAACAAAACCAAACAAAAACAAAAACAAAAACACAACACGATATAAGAAATTTTCAACAAAAACTTAAAACTTGAAACTTGAAATTTGAAGCCCTGAAGAAGTTGAAAAGTTTTTAGTAAAAATTTTAAAATTTCATTTCTTATTAAAACATATGTGCAATATAACAAAAACTGCATTTTACCACATTTCGTACGAATGCTTGCTTACCAAAAATTGCTTAACGAGCTGTAAACGCATATAAAATTTATTAGCAGACTTTTACGACTTAATAAGAAACACAAAAAGTTTATTAAAAATTACACTTACTATGACATGTTTAAGGACTGACGTAGAGCAGAGCAGAGTAGAGTATATTGAAATGAAGTGAAGTAATTTGAGTTGTAGGATATTTTCATTCTCTCTCTAGTTTCTGTGCATAGAAAATGCAACAGTGCACATGTGTGCGTCCTGTAGCCTGTGGCAGTAAAATGCCATATGCTTGCACAAATTTCAAATTTATAAACTGGCGCCTGAAACTGTGCCATAATTTTTTATCTGCTAAAGTTAGTAATCCCAGTCGGCAATAAAAATTTAAATAAAAATCATATAATTTTGGGAAATAAATTTAAATATAGATTACTATATAATATATTTAAATAATAAAATTTAATTAAAATATATTTGATTTAAAAAAAATTGGTATTGTCACAATATAGTAAAACATGAGAAAAAAACATGAGTTGTATACATCACAATGGAATATCATTTCATTTATATAAATATTTAATGCCAGCTGGGTTAAAATATTTTAATGAAAATGTTAAATCCTTACAAAAGGACACACGTATGTGTTTGCTAACCACTTCTTTATTCTAACAAGCTTATGTAGACATATTTTTTAAACTGACACCCTACGATACAATATATAGAAAACTGTAATATAAAGTTAATTGCAGTGATAAATCATTTAAACTCGACCATTGTGCATTGTACAGAATATTTTATACATCCTTGCTGTAGTAGGAACAAGTACAAAATATATTTGAAGCAACTGTACTGTATGTGCATATTATTTATATTGTACTGTTGTAATTGAAATTCAGTGATTTATTATATTTCTTAATAAAGACAAGATGAAATTTGAAATAAAAATTTAAATAATACTTTACTTTGCAGAATATAAATTTTGCAATACTAGAAGTATAGAAGCTTTTAAACTGTAAGCTAAACGAATAAAATTTAATATCAGTTAAGTAATATATTATTTGATTAATTTTAGATATGCATGCATGTGTAAATATACAAGGTGACCCATTAGAACTGTAATTAATTTCAAACTACTATAATTTTCGAATTGATAATAGTTGATTTAGTGATGTGGACGCTTTTAATATTCGATGGTCGCCCTATATTAGTGTTTTTTTTTGATCGTGCTCTCTAGGTTTATGAGAAAAAGTTTTGGAAGATGCTTTAAAGTCATGGACAATATTTTTATATTTTTGTATACGAGTAATATTCAGACTGATTATGTATACACTAACTAAAAATAACTAAGAGAGAATAACTAAGAGTGAGAACTGTTCCATACATTATTTTCACCACATAGTGGCTTGCGTTATTCTTACATACAACAAAAACCAATGTAATTATTAAAAAATAAAGTTACAAAAAAAAACAATCTATTGTCTACATGTTGCCAATCAGAACTGTCAGTTGCTTATATATCGTTTTTGTTATTTAATAATAAAATTTAGTTTAATAATAAATTTAATAATAATATACATTTTGGCTAGTTTCGAAATATTGTCTTACCTTTTCTTTCTCAAATATTCCAATTTGGCATTCAAAAACTGTAATTAAAAAATTTAGAAAAATAAAATTAATTTAATAATTCTTAATAATTTAATAAATAATTTAATTCTTAAATTCTAAGTTATATATTATGGATGAGTGCGAGTTCGTCTAAATTGAGGTAAAGTAAATTTCATACGGTGTTCAAATTTATTTATTTATTTATTAAACATCTTATAAAATTTTCACAATGTTTAATTTACTTAATTTACTTAATTTTTGATCTAATTTACCCTACTCGAAATTCTGGTAAATAACAACATTCGCTGCCATACCGACATAATTTACTATTTCCCTCAATTTACCATCAATTTACTCGAATTCGCACACGACCTATATATCATTTAAAATAAATTAAATAAAAACTAGGTAAGTCCTTAGTAAAACTAACTTAATGCAAATTAAATTGAAATTGAGAAATAAAACTTCAATTTCTGCCTAAAAGTATGTGTTAAAAGGTCAATGTATCATTTTCGAATTAAAGCTGACACGCATCGCTCGTAAGCTACAAGTTCCACGTATACAATTGCCTCTGCCATTATCGCTCTATATCTCACTATAAAACAATAAGTACCCCCTTCCTGCTAGCACAATAGAGAGCAAGGAACACTAAAATAAGCTCCACACTATCTGCAAAGTTTCGACCTCAATCTAACCCCACATTAGTACCAGAACTGGTGGAATGTAAATGCTTCATTGCAGCACCAAACGTTAAATAATAAAAGAGTATTACCAACATGGCACGATTAAAGCATTTTCTACAATTCGATATGGCAAATACACAACTCACACACATACACATACTAACTAACACACTTACACACGTGCGCTCACATAGAATAAAAATGGCGTTTAAGGCAGGCAGCAAAAAATGGCGACACACTGCAGCTAATGTCCTGGTTTATACAAATGGACAATTTTATTATTATTATTGTTGTTATCGTTTTCATTCTGCAGCTCGTTTTGAGTTTGTGTTTTGAAAGTGAAAAATGAAAATGTCGCACAGAGATATTTATTATTTTACGGTTTAATGGTGCCCATAGCAATGTCAACCCTATCAAGGCTAACGACACACAACAAAGCCTAAGTCTTTAATACAGGAATGAAAAAATCATAAATTTCATCCTATATGGCCATTCGGAAAGAAAGAGGTTCACTTGCTCGAGCAGATAAATCAATTTAATTGTAGCATTTGGTGCTTTAGTGGCGGTCAAAAATTTTTCCTTTGTTAGAATTTTTAAATATTTGCTTAGTTAATTTGTCAAGTGAAATTTCGCCAATGTAAGTATGTGCCTTGTAGATATGTATCTAAAAGAACAATGTGTAAATATGAGTAATTTTTGCATTGCAACAATTTAGGTTAATGGAGCAAAAGCGAAATTATGATTTATGCAGTAGCAAAATCGATATTTGTCTGGCTTGTTTGCAGTTCATTTCTTC